CACACACACACATGCGTTCACGCACGCGCGCGTGTTCGCACACACACACACACACACACACACACACACACACACACACACACACGTGTTCACATGCACACACGCTAGCTCACATTGTCCACCACTCTCAGGCCCTTTGACATCCTGCTTCTGGGTCCAGCCCCAGTCCCATCAGGTACCACCTCCATCCTAAAGCGGCTGGTTCCTATGGTTCTACATGGATCCTTTTTTTGCCTCATTACACACTAACTGTGCAGTAAAGACTTTAGACTTAAAATGACCATTAAATTATATTAGATGTTAATGCACTTCATGGTGTATAATGACCTGACTTCTGACCTGCTCCAATATCTATGAAGTACAGTGGTACCTCGAAACTCGAACTTAATCCGTTCAGAACTTCAGATCGAATCCTAAAAAGTTCTGATCGAATTTTCCCCATAAGAAATAATGGAAAACCAATTAATTTGTTCCTGGCCCCAAAAAATTACACCTAAATATGTTTTTTTTTTTTTAGCATTTAAACACAAAATGAACTGGATAAAACAAGAAGACCATATACTGTACTAAGCACATTTATCAAAACAGTAATTTGTAAAGTAAGAAAATAAATGTATCCAAACAATGCGTAAAGTTTTTTAAAAAAAGACCTGCCCCGATCGTCCGCTCCTTCTGTGTGCCACGCCCCCTTGTTAACCCCATGTGCAATCCCCGTGTAATCAGTTGTTTCTGGTTGTTTTCATTAGTCCTCTGTATTTCATCCGCGTTTCAGTTTTTCCCCAGTCCGGTCACTGTATTGTCCGTCTGCGTTTTGCCTGTCTTACCTGTAATTAAACCCCGTATTCCCTGATACCCTGACGTCTGCGCCTTTGTCTCCGTTCCGTCCCCGCTCGGCACGACAATATTATTATAAATAAATGTATTAATGTCTTATTATTAATATTAAAATAATGAATAAGAAATCTTTATTTTTAAATGTATTTTATTATATAATAATTACTGTTACTGTCTATCATTCTCTAAATGTATTTTTGCTGTCTAATTATATGTATTCAGCTAGTGTAAACATGCAGGATGCTCTCACAGCAAATGGGAGGCTGAGACTGAAGCTTTACCCTTTGTTTCCGCTGAGAGATGTGCCGCGTGACTCATTTCCCCTCACGTACAAGTTATCTTAGGTCGGCGTTCACGGTTTGACTTCTGAGATTCAGATCGAGCTCTAGGTAATTTTTTTTTCGAACTCGTTGGTTCAACTTTTAAGAAATTCGAGTTCTGATGAGTTCGAGAACTGAGGTACCACTGTATGGGGAAATGGGGGGGGGGGCGGCAGCAAGGGACGAATCCAGTTGTCGAAATAGTGGGAAGTCTGGACTGCAGTCATTTGCAGATGCTGTGTAATTAGAAAACTCATCCTTTAACCCTGAGAATGGAAAATGAATAATCAGTGCCACCCATAAAAATATGTATTGTCTGTCCTTATCACCCTGGGGCATTTGCTAGAAAACTGGTCGCCCACCCCCACCCCCCCACGTTGCCAAAAAACAACACATGGCAACTTCATCCACAGGCTCACCAATTAGAGGTGACTTCCTGTTCATTAGCCGATGGTGGCCTTGCCTTTCAGTGGGGGAATGTGCTTTCTGGGATGCTGGTCCAATGTTGCATAATGCTGGAACACGCAAACGTATGCAGCTTATCGGGAATCCAGAGGAGCATGAGGCAACGAGGCATTTATTCTGACGACGTGCAAGCGACAGATGGCTAAAGGGAATCCTGGGTTACAGTCGTTCCTGCAAATCTATAGCTACTGCAGTGGCATTTTGGTAATTTTATTTCAGTGCACATGCCTGACTGGTACATAGGTACATTTGTGTGCATAAATAAAGTCTTTATTATCGTAACAAAGTAACATTAAAAAATAACTTTCTGATCTGTCCTGGTTAACACATTGACCTGTTGACGAGCCCATGGTTGTACATTCATTGCCGGAGACTCGGCGGCGTGAGGAAGGCATTCAAGGTGTCGGGCTGGCTGTCTTTCCTCCAGGGTGACGGCAGGCATTGCACGCCCTGCTCTGTTTTGATATGACTCCACTCACTCATACCCGATTGGTGCTCTGCTTGCTTTCCAGATGCTTCCAGGGTATATAGGTTGTTGGTGGATGACAGTAGGTCGGTGGCGGCTTCGTGGCCATTTGGGTGTGAGCTCTTGGGTTTGGAACTCGCTCCCCAAGGACGTCATTTTGTGTGGGAGGATTCTACATCAGATCTGCAGAATTCTCCAGGGGGTGAATGTGTACCTGTGCAGCCTCTCTACCGTATCACATAGCCTGTCGCTTCTTGAGGCCTAACATGAAGTTGGGCTTTGGGTGTTTGGACAGAGTTGGCCGATAACCCCAAAGGGGGGTTCCTTTGTTTGTTTTCCTCAGCGGACTGTTTCTTAGTGTGCTTTGGGGGGGGCAATTGGCTATTCCCTGTACACAGGCTTCTCCCCTTTCAAGTCTTCTGACTGGGCTCCTGGGTCTTCAGGGGTAAGTACTGTGATGCTTTGTTTCCATTGGGATTCCTGAGAGTGATCTTGACGAAGGTCAGTGGGACAGTGTTTTTGTGAATCCGCTTCGTCAGGCAATTCTGTCGAATTATTATGGCAGTATGTCATTCTTAAAGTTCCTACAAAAAAATATGCTTATGTGGGTATATATATGTATATACTGTATCTCCATATATATCTATTTGTGTAGTTCTTCATTTTATCCGGTCTCTCTCTGAGTCCAAGAGTAGTGTGTTTTGAGGGGCATGATGACGGGATCTCAGGTACAGGGCGGTTCCTCGGGTGGAGTTAGGGGGCTCCTGGGCGGGATTGTGCTCAGGGACCGGAAGGCGAAGACCGACGGGTCATAGGCGAAGCGTGGGGGTGGCCGGCTGCCAGTCAGATTCTGTGGAGACACAAAAACCGGGAATTAACAGCAGTTATGAAGTGTCTTTCAAATAACCTGCCCCCGCCTTAGCTTTGATTTTAATCTCTTCCCCTCCCTGCTCGTTTAGAGGTGAACTCTATCAGCCTTTCCTACAGCACACCGAACATCAGACTTACTCCAGGAATCGAGTGTAAAACCCGACAGTTCCTCCACCTCTACTTGCACCAGCTGGAGATCCACAGGCACTGCATAACCAGTGTTGCGGAGTGTCTGTGTGCCGCACGTGTGCCACCAAGCTGGGCAGAAGACGCGCTGAATCTGCTGCCATGGAGATGAGGATAAGCGATGCAGATCCCCGATTAACCGAGGTCCCCTTGCACAGACTCAGTTCTCACACATGCCTCCGCTAACTCCTGTGTAACTCCTAACTTGTGTGTGTCCTTGTTAGTAGATGGGGCCTCTTGATTATAAACAGTATTAGCTCTGACATTCAAGTTTTGTCAAGTTGGTGACATGCGTTCCCACGTTCGCTATTCTCGACCTTTCCGACTCCTTGGAAAATACACTAGGGGAGATGTTGGGGCATCAGGGTCCAGACCAAATAATCAACAGGTGTGTAACTCCTTGCTGCCCCAGTTTATGGGCTTAGCAAGCAAAAACACCCTAAATCCATTAGCCTACTGTTTAATTAGCTTCCTTGACTCTCTTGCTCTTTGGACCGGCAGGGCTGATGTGACCGCAAGGCAGATGCTAACCTAAATTTCTCAGGTTCAGGATGTTCTTCGAAGATTCAGGCCTGGTTTTAAAGGACTAGTCCTTATTTTGGTAATATGCTTGTTCCCCTTTTCCAGTGCCAACCCTAAGATCTCAGGCCCTTGAACATGGAAAACTCTCTTTCCTCTTAGGAGGTGTAAATAATCTAAAACTGCATGGTTTAGCCAATGGGGTCTCGAGTTCCTCAGTGTATGGGAAGGAGTTTCTGAGTGCATTAACGTCTCTTCAGTTCTCCTTCAGGAAGGCCGTTGCTGGAGCTGCGTTAGGCATGAAAGCCTTGGAGAATCAGAGCTTTTATGGGTGCCTGTCTCAAAACGCTTCTAAAATTAGTCAGCCCTAGTCATCCCCCCCCCCCCAATCCTCAACAGGAAATGGGATTGTGTGAATTGGCAGGCAGGCCGCACTTTCTCCAGTCCACAGAGCCCTACATCTGCTTGGTGTGCTTCAACCCGGCGGTGACCCACAGACCTGAAGGCAGAGTAGGACGGTAGGATGGTAATGCCTCCATATTTGACGCTCGCCAAATTCCCAGACTGCCGCGCTCTTCCCCGCCACGTGCACATCACCGTGGTAACTGCACGATACGCGCCTTTGTGGCATGAAGCAAGACCTCCAGGAGCCGGAGCTAGGCTGCGCCCAGCGGACTGGTCGCTGGGTTTTGGGTTTTGGCATGTGTTTGGCACGAGGACTCCTACAGCCACCGTGCACATGGTAACACTTCCTTTACATCAGGTCATCCTGTTTCGGATGAAGCCGAATGCAAACCCACAAGAAGAAGGGTTAGACCTGTCAGTCATGCCTTTCTTTTAATCCAATGGATCCTCCCATTGGCTGGTAACTAAATGTTACCAGTACCAGTCTTCATTTATTTGTTCCATGGGGAAAACCAGCGCATCCTCCTTCCTCCCCATCAGCTTATCTGGCTACGCTGTATTTCCGGCAGCTTCTGTCTGGGCTCAGGCTTCTCCACACATCTATCCTGCAGCTCCCCTAGCAATGCTCTGCCCTCCCTAGGGGATCCCACACCCTGAACCACCTGGAGTCCAGCCAGGAAAAAATGAGAGGCCCCCACAGCCCCCACCTCCAGCATCTCCAGCGTGCTGGGAAAGACTCCATGCGGACCAGAAGACGACAACAGGATCAGATAATTACCTACGCTTTCTTTTTTTTCCCCCTCCTCCTTCATTCCCCTGCCGGAAGATCACAGATACCAGCTGGCTGGCATCTATATAAGGAAAATGACTTCAACCATGACCAGGCAGGAGCAAGCAGGGGGAGGAGAAAACAGCCTTCAGGCGCTGCTGTGTTCCAGGTCGCACTTTGCATTAAAAACATGGGGGTTTGAATGGGCATCATGTTCATGCAGGAAATGCGTTGTGTTCAGGCATCGGATTCAGGTTTCCCAGTGTGAGCGGCGGCAGCCAATCACTTTGCCAATTCGTGGATTTGGGTTTGTACGTGTACGCCTGCTGTCATGGGGATGGCACGTGCGGGCCGGCACACTCAGAGCGTGACTGTGCGTCACACTGGGGGGGGGGGGGGGGGTGTTTACTGTGACTGGGTGCCTAGTATGTTTCAAGAGAGCGTCCCCACTAAATCCATACGGCTAGAAAGTCGCTCAGAAGCCTGCTTTCCGAAAACTCGACTTGCTGCGATTTTGCCGTTTTGTTGGCGAGGTTGAAGCTCGCCGCCCCGTCGGGGAGAGTTGATAGGCAGTAACACTATCAGGAGTGTAAACCGGTCCGGGTCAGCAGCAGAACCGACCTGCCCGGACAGGGCTTCTGCGCATCTGTGAGTCTGCGGCACTCCAAGCAGCAATCTGAGCTGACGGTGACGTAACGTTTCGCCGGCATGTCACCTCATCCTGTTAATCCTTCTGGAGCTGCGCTCTCTGTGCCAAGATCCCAGGCCTTTCAGAGCGGATTCAAGCTGCTCCCTGTGAGGCCGCAGAGGCCTCACGCCTCTCCAGATGGCGCTATGAACCCGGGGCAGATGGGACCCTACCTGTACCTGTCTCCGAGCCGGCTTCAGCGTGCCAGGGCCGGAGCTTGCAATGAGTCCCCGTCTGACTTTAGGAAAATCCAATTCCATGACACATACATCCTCTGTCCTTCAGCTCAAACTTCAGCAAAGAAAGGTTCCCCATCGGGACAGACTGGAGTGTCGCCTTACCGTACCACGTTGGTACTGGTGCCAGGGATCTTCCCAGCATGCACCAGGGGAAGTGACAGCACAGTGGCACAGGAGGCCAGAACTCAACCCGGTCCTCGGGGACCCCAGACACTCCCGGTAGGGAACTGGGAGGGAGCAAAAACGTGGACTGTCTGGGAGGGAGCAAAAACGTGGACTGTCTGGGAGGGAGCAAAAACGTGGACTGTCTGGGAGGGAGCAAAAACGTGGACTATCTGCCGGTCCCTAAGGACCGGGGTGAGAAACCCTGCCCTATGGTACCAGGCTGCAGCATTTCGGCAAACTTACCCGGATCTTTATAGTCCTTGCTTTCCCTCCGCAGTTCTTCTTTAGGAGCATTTTCTGGAAAAAAGAGGCAGGCTAATTTTAGCTATGTATCATGGTGCACACAGGGGGCTTATCATGGCCTTTACACACTGTGTCTGACCCACGCATCTACATAAGCTACTTCGTGCGCGTAGTGGTGCATTTTCTTCCTCTCTTGGTACTGTCTCATCAGTGGGAGAGGGAATTAGGGGAGGGCGACCGTGTAACAGAGTCCGATGTTGTTCAAGTTGGTCTATAAATGTGTATGTTTAGTACTAGAAGACAATGGAGCGGTACCCTCTATTATATCCCTATTGTTGGGGCCAAATCTGCTTTCACATTGCAGAAAATGCCCCCCTCCCCCAATGCGGCTACTTGAGGGAAGTTTCTCGTGTGCGAGGGATTGTCCACAATTGGGGGATTGTCTGGAGATTATTATGGACCAAGTGCTTCTCGATGGGAGGGTGGTGGAAATGAGAAACTGAAGAGCAAACTATTGTGCCCGCAAAGCATGATGGGTGACAGGCGGCTGGGCCCTGGCCTGAACAAGAGGCCATTTGTCACATCGGGGTGAGTGACTTGCCGGGAGCTCTGGATGAGGACATCTGCCAGGCAAGCTTGCTAACGATGAATAATGGCAAATAAGTGAACCACGCTCTGAATAGGCCGCTATATGCTGCAGAGAAGCCGCCGTTTGCGGTTCTTGGTAAGCGAGGAAGCGGCCAGAAAGTTCTGAAGCTGGACTAAAAGAGTACTGATCAGTCAGCAGTGAGGGCTACGGTAGGGCAGGAGTTGGCTTTCTTCTGACACGGAGCTAATTTCCTGGCTGGCGGGATGGTTAACCCGCTCTGCTGACTGATTAAGCGGGACGTGCTCCCCGATGAAAGGACATCTCTGTGAACCTGCCCCTAGCTTGCACTTAACAGGAGGGAGGGGGTCTCATTCGCCCCCTTTCGGTGGCCTCTTATTATGCTCCCTACCCAGAATGCCCCGTCAGACCCCTCCTGCTCTACTCAACTGAGTGCACCCACATCCCCCCCCCCGGCCGCCTGCCCCCTGCACCTAATCATCTGCTGTTCCTCCATACAAACTCCCAGAGACATATGGAAGCCCCCCCCCCCACTCCAGCCACAGTCTGGGCCCTGGCGGCTCTCGGGTTTAACGATCGCCAGTCCCTGCTTCTCTCTGACTCATCGCTGGCGCTCTTTCTCCTTTCGTCCTGCTCTCATCCTGTACCTCCTAGGGTCAGTGGGGCCTCTCTGTTTGGACGGATGGGCTGTCCCATGACCTCATCCGACAATGCATAAGAGCAGGCGGGGGAAGTAGGACCAAGAGAGCCAGATCGGCAGTGGTCGCCACAGGTGCATGGGGGTAGTGGAAAAGGTGGGGAGGGGGGGGGGGGTTACAGAGACCTTTCCCACAACTGCATTTTAAGCTTCAAATACACCGCCGTGCAAAAGACTTCCTGCTGCAACTGACAGGTGTAGCACCATGTAGGTTGCTGGCTTGACATTTCAGTGTCACCGTGGAAACAGGATGACGTCATGGTGAAATGAAGGGGGAGGGAGGGTAAAAAAGAAAAAAGCTGTGAGGACGCATATGGCAGCCAGGGGCCAACCTGTTGCATCTTCTCTAGATCCAGGCTTGGTCTCCCCGATTCCCCGCCATAGCCTGGTCTGTGGCGCCGGTATGGCGCTGCCGGCTGCTCGAAGTGAGTCAAGATGATGGGCCGGGCCTGGCCCCGGCTGAGGGGCCGAAGGTTGCGTGGCGGGGAGGCGCTGAAGAGCACGGGGCTGGGGGAGGCGGCCACGCAGGAGCTGGGCTCCATGGGCCCACACAGGTCCTTCACCTCCTCGTCGCTGGAGTTGCTGCTGAGGTCGGCGTGGCAAGGGTGCAGGGCCCATCTCACACCCTCGCCGGCACCACCTTGCAGGAAGTCTCTGCTAATGCGCTCCAGCTCCTCCTCGGAGCTGTGCCGGTCCAGTGTGGGGTCCAATAGCAACCGGAGCCTGCGTAGCTGGGCAGGGGAGAGCGCCCCCTGATTGTGCTGCTGGCTGGTGGCCAGCGGGGTCAGTCCGCAGTTTCGCCGTCGCTCTGAGGAGGACAGGAGAACCAGGGGGGTCCAAACATCAGTCTCCTCTCCAGAATCAGGAGGCACACAATGTTCTCGTAAGGATTCATCATTCATAGATCTCTTTTATGCACTGTAATACTCTGTAAACATCTCCGCAAACACTCTCTGCTGCACTCGGTGCTGTAGCTGGAGAAGAGACGCACCCCTGTCGATCTGGGCCAGCTCCTGGTTCTCCCCCTCCGAGTCCTCGCTCTCCCAGCCCTCTTCGCTGCCGTGGTAGGAGATCTGCGAAAGGAACCATCATGGATGCCAGAAGGTCTATAAGCCTTTGTGAGCTTGAGTCCGCCCACGATGGAAAGTAACAATTAAAGAGGCGATGCACTCCTGAATATACCCTACATACATATCTGCAAATGGAGGAACGCAACAATAATCAATAGAGACCCACGCGCCGCTCTTACAAGACAACATCCTCTCTCCTTCAGTCTGTCTCTGGAGCTTCATTCTTGTTTTTTTAGATCACTGCAGTTACAATGCGAGCTGCCTGAGAGGGGAGTCGCCTGTCGCATCATCCGGTGTGCATGTGACGGCCATTTAAACAGAGCAGCCGGCCGAAACTGACAGCCACGATAAGAGTTAAGTAATGTGCCGTAATTACCATGGTGTGGCAAGCCAGACAGCTGGTATCTGCGAGGGAGAGCAGCCCCATCATCCGTCTCCACAGGACAGCCACATGCGACGGGCTCTGCATTTGACCCGCAAATGCAGAAGTAGCACCCCCTTCCTGTCTTTGGGGGAGGGGGCTCACCATGCCCTGCCTGTCTCTCACACATCCACTGTGCTCTGAAAGTTGCTGCAAAATGCCACAAGAAGCCCATGCCATCTTCTCACGGCGGAGCCTACTGCCAGCACCCTAGAGGTTAGACTCCCCGGCCGGCTGTGGTGTCCCTCTCAGCATAGGAGGAGTTGCACAGCAGGAAAAAGTCTCAGTTTTCGCCATGTCAGATGAACATAAGTCAGTCTGTGAGCCTCAAGCCTGAGACATACAGGTATCCTCTTCCTCCCTCCCAGGAACAAGGAAGACCGACAAAACCAAACAACCAGCAAATGTTCATATTCTCCTCACAGACCAAGAGTTAGGCAGACCTACGGGGGAAGTCTCTTCAACACAGCGTCTGGGACCCCCCATTTGCTGAAGTATCTGAACACAATCCCCCCAGTTTTGTAGCAGAATATAAGGGTTCGTACACTTTTTGATCAACAAATTTCCATGACTTTTCCATGACTTTTCCTGGACTTCAAGCTAAATTTCAAAGAAACATTCTAGGTTGTCGCGTGATCATCATCGCATGACACCATTACGAACATGTACTTTGTGTAGAAGAACCAGGTGTTATGATTAGAGATGCACCGATCTGATATCCAGATCAGTATAGGTGCTGATCCAGACCTATTCGATGGATGGTGTCGGCCACATTTGTTAGTTACTCCTTTAGGTTTTGGCAGTCTCTAAAAAGATGGCTCTTATTTTGCGTCAAATCCATTTGTACAATCAATCACATGACAGCTCATTCCCATTTCAGATGCGTGTTTGGCGGCCTTCAAGCTGAACGCTAAGGCTGCCACTCAGTGGGTGTGAGCGCAGTGACTTCCACCTGCTGTGACGTCAGGCGCATACCCTGTGCAGCAGCAGGAGGAGGGTAAGAACATCAGATAAGAGGGTGATGGTCTGGGAGTGTTTTACACTTTTAACAGCAGCTAGCAGCCTAGCAGCACAGATATTTGCAGTCTTCGTAAAAGCTTTGTGAAAGTTCTGAGAGGTGGGAGTAGCGTTTAGTAGAAAATCCCACTAAACAAAGCAATTGTGTGAGAATGTGAGTTGGGAGGTGCTAGCTTGGGTTGTTTTGCGCACTTTCTGCAGCTTGTGGTACGAGGGGAACTATTGCAGTGAAGTGTAAGTGACACTGTTGCCAATGGGAGAAAAACTGTGTGGCATTTCAAGCTTCCGCCGCTTGCGTATCCTCGTATGGAAGATACTCAAACTGCAAAATGCCTCAAAAACAGTATGTTATGCATGTTCCTATCAGCCCAATTAGATTTTTTGGCGTACATTTTTTCGTTTGTATTTACTAGTTTAAAAATATTAACACTAAAATATTACTTCTGACCGTGCGGCAGCGTAGCGTGCGTACTCCCAGCATCCAGGTGCTTTGTACTTGCGTATACCCTTAAAATGATGTTGAATAACGACTTGGGAACATTTCAAGTTACGAACGGTCGTTCTGAACGTATCTCATTCGCAAGTAGAGGAGCGTCTGTATTTCTGTGTCATTATAGTTACACTAATGTGACATAAGCAAGATGTATGTGGTGCAAATGTAAGAATGAAATGTGAACTTGAAGTATACCCAGCATGTTATAGGTGTAAAGTTGAAATGTCAGACAATAAAATAATAATAATAATAATAATAATAAAGCATAAGCATACTGCCACAGTGCACTATGCATGTAAATCTGCAGGAAGGCCCTTAGCTATGTGTGGTAGCTGTTAGCACCTGTGTGGAATTATAAGCTAGAAATGACTTTATAGCTTTTGTGAAAGTCTTTATGTGTTAAATGTGTTCCTTCCAGTAAGCACTTGAATGGCATAGACTGTCTCTCGCTCACAGACACACACTCACTCACTCACACACACACATCTCTATTTTCACACTGTCTGATACTCTAAATTGCACTTTACACACACTGTATCTAAATTTCTCTGCTAGCTTGTATCTTTTTCACAGGTAGCACATTAAGTGTTTATACGCGAAGTGCACTGAGGCGTCTCCACACACCAACACACACACACACACGCTCACGTCTTTCTTTAGTACCATCTGATATTTGGACCTCATATGGTCTTTACACATTCTACTCTTCAAGATAACAATATCTATTGTATAAAATATTTCTTTTAGCATTGTCCACAAGACCACACACACACAAACACGCACCTTTTTTGTTTATTGCATCTAACAGTTCAACTTTACACATTCTATAATATGCTGGGTACAGTTCAAGGTAACATTTTATTTAATTCTTTTGAGACATTCATAGTGCATATATCGCTCATCTCACGTCAGCATAAATAATTAGTCTTGGCGCAAACTTTTACAACTTCATGAGAAATTTTACACAGATTGTTACCTGTTACTTCACTTGTTCCAAATCAGACATATTATTTAGCATATGGGACAAAACAACGAACCTCTTCCTTGAAATTTTTACTAATTTTGAGTATTAGTGGTTATGATTAAAAGTCACAATAATATCATATGGTAATAAGAATACAACACGAGACACGATACAGCAACAAATAATAATGCATTACATACAGACTGAAACACCTTTTTAACACGTACATTTGTATCATGTTGACACGGTATAAAAATGCATGTCACCACTGGTTTTTAACTGTGTGTTTTAATGCCAGTGCTCCGGGAGAGAGGTGCAGTGTAGCCACATACAGAGGGGAAACATGCAGTGCCGGGACATTTTCTCTCGTTTTCTGCCCCGACGACCTTCCATACTCACGACCTGCTCGAACGCGTAAAGCATAATCAAGGTACTGCTCGAGAGAAAGACGGGTTATACTGTGAATGGGGAAAAAAAACCTCATTTTTTTTATTTTCTATAACTTTCCCTGGAAAATGTTTCTTAATTCCATGATTTTCCCAGGATTTTCTTGACCGTATGAACCCTGAGGGAAGCGGCACCGGGTGTTATGACATGTTACTGTATATTTCTCATTTTCAAACTTAAGTACAAGTATTATTAGGATGAGCAGACACCAGAACAAAAAGCTAATTAAAGATGAAAGCCCTGTCATTCATGGACGGCACCAACCGACAGCTGATACTCCAAGCTAAAATACACTTGGACCAGCTGCACAAAAGAAACGTCTTTGACATCACATCTGGTAATCTCCTGGTAGATCGCCTTAATTCCAAGAATAAGTGTAACCTGTGGATGAATAGTGAAAATGGGGCAGAGCACAACAGCATGGAGTAGGCCCAGAGCTGGGCCTGGCCCACTGCCGCCCTCCATCGAAGGCCAATGCCACATCCACCCAGGAACCCCTCTCTCTCGTAGAGGCTAAACTCACAGCTGGCCCAGCAACTAGTGTGCAGGATCCACTTTAAAGGGGACCAGGATATAAAACCAGATCTGGGACAAAGTCCTGCAAGGATTCTGCATGGGGGGGCGGTCGCAGTCCTGCTCAGGTGTCTTACGATGCTCAGGCAGTATGCCTCAGAATGAGCAAAGATGTGTGTGAACCTGGTCTTGGTCGTGACTCTTCTCAGACCTTCAAGGTGAAATCTGCCCAGGTGACCCTTATTTTCATGGGAATCCTACGACAATCTCAGAGGGCAAACTGCTGAGTTTGCCAAGTTGATGTTATTTGGATCATGCCTACTCTCATCCACGGGTGCAACACAGACTCGGTCTGCACTTGTTTCCACTGCAAGGGCTTGTTTTATTTACTGCAGAATGACTGTGTCCCTTTACGACTGTGTCCCTTTTCAGCCTTCTGTGCAATGGCAATACGAAACCACAGGAGCATACAGAGCCATGCATGCAAATTGCGTACGCTGACATACACCCTGCAAGTACCACATATGGGGAGCTTGGTTTTCACTATCTGCACTTTCCGCAGCTGACAAATGGGGTCAACTGTGAGTCTGTATGGCCAGCTTCTGCACTGTTCTGCTTGCAGGACCGGCGTGTAACACTGCACATAAAGAACTCAAGAACTGCAAGCAGCAGATAGTTTGTCAGTTCTCCGATGTAGTAGGACCAAAAAAGAAAACAAAAAGCATCCGAGCCAGTCGTTTCCTTCTCTCCACTTCCTCTTTAGCATCGAAACACGACTTCATTGTCATTTCTTTGGACTGTCTGACCTGCTGCACACACCACAGTGAAACAGAGTCACTGGTGGAGACTAGGATGCACAGAGCTGAAGATGCAAGGACGGAAATTTGAACGCGCTTCATCGGGGAGATGAGAAGCATCAAGCACGCATTTACTACAATCTGGGCCAGAAAGTGTCACACCTCTGCAGAACATCATGCAGAGCATCATGCAGAGCATCCCCGGTCCCCCATCCGTGTTTGGATCACCGGGCTCTCTGCAAAGGAAGCACAGCCGCAGGTTGGTGTTACCGGTCCCAGCCGTGCACGAGAGCAAGCGGGGCAGCCCCCCCCCTATCATGTGCCGGGGTTTCCATCCACGGCTTGGCGGCCAGCCAGGTTTTCATGTCACCAACACCACAGGATGTCTACAGCCAGAATGAATATTGAAACCAGGTTCCCAAACCACACTAAAAACACTCATTTGAACCGTTTCTTTAAACAGTGTTTTGCTGTTCTGCCAGTGGGCCATGTTTGTACATCTATCCGTACCTCAGCATGAGGTGTGTTTCAACATTTCGAGCAAAAACTTTGCCTTGTTTACCTGTTTTTCACGCCCGAATCCAGCATAATACCAATTTCCTCCCTCTAGAGTTGCCCTATTGTGCTCAGAGGCCAAGGCGTGTTAAACATTACGTGGCCCCCTCACAGACCTACGATGGGGACGGACTAGTGAACGCCTGACCTGGAAAATTACTACTTGCACATCAAAGGACATAGAGGATTACGGCCATGAGCCATGGAGCTGGATTAGAGGCAGAATGGGCGAGGCGGGAAAGGCGGGAAAGGCGCAGGCCCTCAGAAATGGCAGCGGTGTGTGAGGAGGCGTGAACACGTCACTGACGCAAGATCCAGGGACTGGACATTCCCACAGCCATAATAAAATCCCGTATCACCAAACCGTCACTTCTGCTGATTTAAAAAGAGATGTACTACGAAAAGCTGGTGCCACAAATGTGTCACATCCTCCAAATGATTTGCTACAGCCTTATAGAACTTGATTAAAAAAAAATAATAAAAAAAAACTACACGACTTGGCAGCAGCTGGGCCTGGCCCACTACCGCCAAGCACAAGGTATGGCGGAAATGTAACGTCCTGCCTCGCCTCCAGTTCGAAATCCGACTCGGAAAACCACAGCTGCTCCTGGGAGATTTGCCCAAATGCTGCTTTTAGAATCCAGCCTTGTCCGTTTCATAACATGCAGCCTTGGGTAAGAAATCTGTAGCAGTGTTAGCATCGCTGCTGTCAGCCCAGTAGCCTGCGAACAAATTAGCAACTTGACCTGAGCTGGGTAAAGTATCTTTAAGGACCTCCGGATTCCCTAAACCCAGATCAAAGCAGGCATCTTCTGGAGAACCTTCAGCCCCAAGCGATCGACACAGAATGGACCCACTTGGGCCCTGCCGAACCACCTTTCAGATCCGTAAGGCTCAATCCACATCATGCTAATTTCTTTAGCACACTTACAAGTGACATAGCAACCGTTTCAAACAGTACAGACACCCCCTGGTAACTCCTTTGCTCTTTACTTGAATATGTTTGAGCACATGAAACTACATTTTAAAATGTATGCAGTAATTCATCTTCATAACTGTTTTATATACTTTGTAATGTATTATCATTTTACAGTTACTGAAGTATTTACCTATTTGGTTAATACCCATATGCTCTCGCCATAACTACGGCCCTGTTTGCTTGCAGTGTGTTAAATGTCAGCATAACACAACCTGCACCTGCAAACACTGCCTGTTACAGCAGCACTAATCTACAGCTGTTTCACACACTGCTCTGCTTGTAAAATTTTACCATGTTTAATAATCTTCCGTAGACAGAGGAGGCCGGAGGCAGTATAGGGTCAACGAAACCCTCTGTGTCTCATGAACGGTGTAAAAGAGGCAGGCTGTCCTAATTGCAAATATTTTTATTTTGCTCAAAACAACAGGTGACTAACGTCCTAAATCCATGCATCATCATTTTTACGGCCACATGTGGCAAGTCCCAGGACAACGATGGTGCAAGATCTCTGACAGTCCAGCTCTGAGTCTGATTTTAAAATGAGGAACTGACTATTTAAACTGAACGAGGGGGATGCAGCCAAAGCTCCCGGGGCCCCGCGGATGTGCCGTGGTAGGGCCGAGCCGGGGCCCCGCGGATGTGCCGCGGTAGGGCCGAGCCGGGGCCCCGCGGATGTGCCGCGGTAGGGCCGAGCCGGGGACCCGCGGATGTGCCGCGGTAGGGCTGAGCCGGGGCCCCACGGATGTGCCGCGGTAGGGCCGAACCGGGGCCCCGCGGATATGCCGCGGTAGGGATTGGCTCTTCAAGTGTCAATCAGCACACGTAGAGTTCTTCTCCCGCCCATCCTTCACCATCGGCATTTCCACTTTACCCAGAATGAATCAGCAACCCAGTGTGTAGAAAACCCTAAAATCAGGGAAGCCATTGGCCCCCAAGATATTACAGCACCGTTCTCCCTTTGCATCTCAAAGCTTTGCAATTAGCACGACTGCCAAACGTCAGGTTCTGGGGTCCTGTGACCGACGACAGCTAAGGCCAATGGCCTTCCATGGTTCCAGAGATCCCCCAGGGGCACCACAGCCTGTGACTGACTCGGGGAGTTTGGGGGGGTAAGCAAGGATATCTTCGAGGGCCCAGGGGGCAAATGTGGCAAGGAAACCTAGCTGGGTGAGAGGCTTAGGGCTACAGAAGCAGTTTAGGGATTACCTGTTACCTGCCTGGTCCCATGCACGGCCAAATAAGTGAGACCAATCCTTCGGAACATGGGTCTGGATTTGTCAGTAAACTAAGAAAATTCATCGTCTTACTAAGAAAGGAGGACCTCGTGTTTAACGACCCACCTGTGCACTTATCGAAATAGAGCGGACCTGTGCGTGTGTCTGTGTGCGACTTAGACGGAGCCCCCGCACAGTCCAAATAACCCCACTAAGGCAGTGACCCGACCCTCGAGCCCACTTCACACCCAGCCCAGCCACAGCATAAAACCGAAAGTATGCGACTGAGAAAGTCACAGGCATGAGCGGGGCAGCGAGAAAGTGCAGAGCCAGAGCCGCGAGAGGCCAGGGGGGTTAACGGCAGCGAGCTCTCCTCTCCTGGGCTGAATGACATTCCAAAACATGAACGTGAAACCCACCCCCGCAGCCTGGTGGAGAGCCCCACAGGATCTGAGGGAAGGAGGGGGGGACAGGTAAAAAACATCACCAGCAACTCACAATGCGCACATTGTGTCATGACAACCCTGCAACATTACACCAGCATCCGCATTTCATCCTGCGCTGGCGGCTGCTTTGCATTACGCCTTTTACGCTGCGCCCTTGTAGCCCAAGTCAAACTTTCGCACAGTGTTTACATTCAGGCATATCACGTTTCCATCCTTCATTCACGCTGTTCCCCTTTTTCATTTTAAATAATGCAGTTTATGAACTTACCTTGAGCTGAAAGGGGTGCATCTCATTAAGGGACTGCCGCCTTAGCTTTTTCGTTAAAGTCTTCAACATCTTGATTTATATTTCATTAGCTCGCGGGACCGAGCTGATTAACTTTTTTCTCGAGCTATCTCGTAAATGCGGCTAACTGGTTATGAATAAGTACTTAAGTGGTTACATTTGAGATGGTGCGCTTGCTCGGTTTTGCACACTTGGTGAAAGACGCACGCACAAAGAGGACACTTATGAACTTCTGCTGGAGAATCGAAACGGCCCCTCGCTAACTACTACTAAACTGCTGCAACAACTCTCCTCCGCCAAGTAGCTTGATAGATGTCTGTATATATAATTATACATATATATAAATATATATATATTTCAGTTGAGGGAGAGCAGAATCCGCACCGGATAAAAAATAAACATTATTGTGAGGATGATGACGATGATGATTTTCCAGGCGAGTCTTCTGCAAACGTATGCGCGATTACTAGGGCGAAGTTGATCGGTCTCACTTTGCCTGTCCCGCGGCTCGTATCGTTTCGGTCGGAATTGGGTCGGCACACAAACACGCACACAGCACAGCACACACTCACACACACACTCACTCACACGCAGCCCTGCGCGCACGCTTACATGACAAACACACACACTATTCCTCATACTGATCCATCCGCTGCTCTCATTGGCTGATCTGCTGAGTGATGTCATGCGTTCCCTCAAGGGGGCGGGGTGATCGTCTTAAAGGTATATTTCCGGGGGGTATTTCTATGCGTATGTAAATATACTGTTTACATCTAACTGATTGTTTAATCATACAGTTAATAATACAGTCTTCTGTTAGTATATGTGTGTCCGTTATGCACGTATTTTAAACTAGTATATAATAATATTTATTGTAGAAAATAAAATTAGATTTTTATTTGGTAGAAAACATTTCAGAAATATTTTTGAACTCTACACAGCTATCCAAAGAAGTATTGTAAGGCATAATTTTTAAGCTTGTGTGTGTGTGTGTGTGTGTGTGTTCGGGGTGGCCTAAGCTAATGCATTAGCATGACTAAAATATTTCTTTAGAATGGGGTTATGCAGGAAAACCCAACTCTGGCAGTGCAGTCATCCAGCACCAGAAAGGGGCCTCAGACTATCAGATCACATGCAACGAAGTGAAGGTCCGACAGGAACATGGCCCTCACTGTCACAGCATCAGGTGTGAAGCCGGCTTTCGGGGCAGAAGAAACATGTTCTAAAAACTGGCTAAAACAGATGGTGTGTGTGTGGGGTGTGTGTCTGTCAGCAGCATACGTGCGTGGGAGAGCCTGTGCATGTACAGTCAGCCATGCGGGGCTTTCTGCGTGTGCATGGTTTTCTTCTGCACGCGTGTGTAAATACCCCAGGTAAGTTTTGGTAATCTGAGTCCTCCTTGGCTCTTCTGCTCAAGCATCTAATCTTTCATGCCGGCCTTATAATTGTCTGCCTAATCCCCAAGTAGCCAGCCAAACTGCTCTTTATAGTTCGGCTCTTTTGGGCTTAATAAGCCAGGCCTTTTAATCAACCAAAGAGCCGATGAGCCCAAGGGTGCAGCTGCTCCCCCTCTTTTATAACGGCAGCACGGCTTCTGGTGGCCTGTGCTTCCAGGTTTCAGGTGGGAAGCCAGCCCCAAGTCCTGCTGGGAAAAGCCTGAGCTCCACCTTCCCCACCGCGAGCGGAGACAAACGGAAAGGTTAACAGCAAAGCCTCAGCGGGCGAGAGAGAGTAGCAGGGTTAATCGGCACAAGCTCGGCAATCCTATTACCATGACGTCAGCGGACAAGTTAGGAGAGATGCTCAGATTTCCAGGGTTGGGCCTGTGTGCTTCTCGGAGGCCTGCCGCCGCAGGTGAGCACGCCCGGAGTCTGGGGTAACGCCGCCGCTACCGTGTCGCTGGGGGCTAATCACTGGGTGTAACATACAGCTGTCCCACTAATAAATGAAGGGATCAGTTTTCCAGCTCATTTGCGGCGTGGCACAATCCAGGTAGTCATAATTAATCACCTGCAATTAAATAACGTTTTCTAGGAAAACAATCATTTCACACCTTTGGTATTTTTCCACCGCTCCTGCCACAGAAAGTCACAATGAGGGCAAACTCACTGCACTTTAAATGCAGGTATTATAACAGCGATTATGTTACAGATATTGTTCTTGGTGTCTCCAACCCAGAAGTCAGCGTGCAGGTTCCACTGGGACGTTGTGGTCCGAGTCGGGCCTTTGGGATGTCGGCAAATCGGGATCGAGTGGCCTATTTAAGGTCCACCTTGAAGCGGTGAGGAGGAGTGTGTGCGGGATTAGGAGTGATGAAGGGCGAGGCAGGGGATGAACTCGGCACATTACCTGGAAGCCGTTCCTGTTTCTTCTTCCTCTCTCTGCGGGGAAAAGGGCTCTGGGTGTTAATGTCACATCGCCGGGGGGGGGGCATGCTTATCCTCCTCCTTCTCTTCCTCCCCATGGTTAACACTTCTGACTCTGCGCTGTTTCACACTTAATTGCACAATTCCGTTTCTAAACAGAACGAGCAGCTGAATTTCTCCGGAATGCCTGCCATTCACCTTATCCATAAATCACTGGACTGGGACACTGTCAGTCATGCATAAGTGACATGTTTTCAGGGGATTCCAGCTGCAACTGGGGGCAGCAATGAAACGGCTGGCCCACCGTGACAAAGTCCTCAGACTGCCCGTTGGTTACTGGCTGATATGAAGACACTACATAGAAATATCTGGTCAGTGACACGCTGAACCCTGTGAGACACTGAGTTTTTGGCTGTGTTGTCAGTGAATTTGGCATGTCACAGGAAGTCATTGACATTTATAGACACTCATTTATATGGCAGACATTGGACGTTTTAATATCAGCTCATTACTGATAAAGTGATTTTTACGAGGTGGGGATTTTTTTTTTTTTGCAAGTTTGACGCTATTCGAATTTTTTTACAGCTACACTCATTGTGAATTAACGTCATCGGAGTGAGTTAACAGTTAGTCAAGAGTTTTTTTCTGCGTTAGTGCGCGTTTATCGGGGTGAGTGCGTTTTCCGGACGGGCCACTAGGAGGAGATAATACACCGCCAATAACAGTATCACCGGATTCAGTAAGTAATGTAGTCGACTATAATAATACCTAACGTATTATAACGGCGCATGGTTTCATTAGGAACAAATATTTGTTCATTTGATTTTTGATTTTCCTCACATTTTCAACAGTCTTACTTTATTTATTCCCATAAGACGCGGTCAAGTGGGAGGCGATTTGATTATTGAAAAAAAAATAGGTTTATGTTGTGATTTCTGTTCAGGTGGCAAGTTTATTCATTTTAAAAAGGGGACCAGAGGACGAAGCTTTCGAGGTCTGATTTACAACAGTGCGATTGTGTTTACTGTGTGCGGCAGATGCGGTTTTTCCCGGTTGGGGTTTTTGAGTGACCTCACTGGAAGATACGGGTTGTTTATTCCAAAAGTTACACAACGCCTTCCTTCCTTTTTGGTACAATACGTGCTGTTTAATGTTTGATCCCTTGCGGTAAATCGTGGAAAACGTGTAACACGCTATAAGGGTGTATTTTCCATGGAAACCCTCCCGGAGTTAAGGTGTGTGGGGGAGGGATGTAAATAGTATTTTTCCTTTCGAAGAAATGGTTCCAAATGAGGTTGTCATAACTGGTAGCAGTGTAGGTACCAGAATGCTATCGGTGGTCCTCTGGCGGCCAGTGGTCGAGCTGTGGGAGACGCTGACTAAAAGTTGTGTAAACTTTGTCCACCGGTAGCCTCGCCCCTGATCTAAAGCATAGCGACTTTCACAGGTTGATAAAGATTTCATGGGTGTCATCTCATGGATACAGCAGTAAATGTCTGACTGCATTCTCAGCAGCTGCCCCCTTTGGTTTATTTCAGTCTGTTTAATGTCCTTTGGATGTTCTTAGACTTAAAGAAGGAAAGGATATAATATTGCGTACTCACTAACTTTTCAGCCCACGGAACCTGGCTTGCCTGTCCCTCTCAGCACCACGGAGAAGCCGGGATCGTGCATAAGCCAAACAATGTAAACGGCAGAACCAAAAGGGCAGTGACGCCTGTGCTGCTTCGAACACGATAAATCCATTATCGGGCGACGAATATACTGCGCACGGTGTTTAGAAGAAATCTAGACAATTAGGGAGAACAGGCCTATCTATCCAAAGGAAATTATAAAAATAGCCATCGTCATCTAAAAAAGAAATTATAGAATTAAACAACCATTAAAAGGCATTTTAGCATGTACCCATGCACCGGATCGACTATGTTTGGGAGTTTTACCAAACTTAACATTCTGTTTTTCAGTAAATGTATACATCGTGTATGTAAATATGAAAAGTTTCTTTTGCCCCCTGCTGTTCATTTGTGTTACTGCAGGACATCAGCAAATTACAAATATATGTTTTACTTTGAAGATTAATAGCTCTTTGGGTGATTCTGGTTAAGTTACTTAAGAGTGCCATGGAAGTACTCCTCTTGACCATTGAACTAGCAATGTCGGGGTTATGAGCTAATGTCCTTAACAGTGTCCCTCTCTACAGTTCCTATTCTACACGATAGAGCATATCTCCATGGCAACTGTGACCAATGTGGTTTCCTCGCTGGTGGACTTGCCAAAAAACTAGTCAAGGCCTTTTATAGTTAGGCAGACCGCTTAACTGAATAGCAGGAACCAGTGGGTACTGGGCTGGATCAGTTGGTGGTTTGGCAACCGGGACCTCTGTTTTAGGAAACCGCAGGAGATAAGGGTGCTTTCAGAAGCACAGACAGGCTGCTGGTGTTAGATGGAACCGGGCTGCTGGTGTTAGACGGAACTGGGCTGCTGGTGTTAGACGGGAACCGAGCTGCTGGTGTTAGACGGGAACCGGGCTGCTGGTGTTAGACGGAACCGGGCTGCTGGTGTTAGACGGGAACCGAGCTGCTGGTGTTAGACGGGAACCGAGCTGCTGGTGTTAGACGGGAACCGGGCTGCTGGTGTTAGACGGAACCGGGCTGCTAGTGTTAGACGGGAACCGGGCTGGCCATTTTTTAACATTACACACAAATTTTCAGTTAATCCAGTTTAGGCCCACCCTGCCCAGTCATGGAGGACAGGTGTGCGATTGTGACCCCCCCCGCCCACCACCACCACCTGTATGGCAGCTTTGCAGATGAAGCCATCTTTTGGTCATGAGCCTTTCGTGAAGGTGTGACTTTCCTTATTCCTGCATGAGGATGTAAGAGCGACAGTGATCTCATGGCCAGCACTCCCCCACCCACCCCACAGTGCGCACTTCCTCATACGGCCCGGGCCGCTCGCCCCGGAAGCCTCCGGCTTTCTGCGCGCCCACCACCTCCCCCGCATGCGGGAGCTGATGCCGTCACCCTCCCCCGCCCCCCCCAGCTCCCACTGACCTGCAGCGGAAGACGTGGGCGTCCTGCTCCGCCTGGGATTCTGCTTTTAGAATGGTTGGATGCTATTTTCTGTGCGAACAGGCCAGCTTACGCAACACCGCCTTCGAGAGAACCTCTGAAGTGTTTACGTTGTCCGCTGACGTGCTGGAGGGCTGTGAGCGGGGCCCTACTGGGCTCGAGAGCACTGGGACACCGTCACCATGCTCTGCTGGATCATTCCTAGCTCCTGCAGCCACAGTGACTATACAGATA